TCCACACACATACACACACACACAGAGAGACAATTCCACTTCCTTGGTTGCATTACCAAAACTTCAACTGACACCAATTCCCAAAGTTACATTGTAATTTGTAGACTACTGCAAAGCAATCTCCTACACTCATATGTCAACTGACAACAAAATCTCAGTTATTGGATGATGAATTTCTTAGCAGGATTGTGCATTCAGTTCATGTGTGATTCGTAAAATGAATCTCATTGTGAGAATTGAACATAAACCATGAAAATGGTTGTGAGGATGAATGGGATTGAAGTTGTCTACCACAACTGTGTAGACATGAGCAAGAAGATGGAAGATGGAAGATGAAACTATTTTCAATCAAACATTAGAGAATGTACACCACTTTGATTGATGATGTTGAGAGATTGATTAGTCATTTGACAGTAACCAACTTCATCTTCCTCAATACTGAAACTAGACGAAATTCGATGGATCATTTTGCAATGTGATCACCAGTTTGAAAGACTCACCGTCACAATGCACTATGATGAATGCTAGATGGATGAGGTGGGTGGAGAACACAATGGATTAGTAACCTCTGTGATTGCAGTATGGGGTGATGTGTGGTGGAATCTGTGATGGGATGTTGCAGACACACCCTGATGATGTGTGCTAACAAGCACGAATCTTATCCTGGTCGACGAACGACCTCCTGACAGTCACATTCAACTATCTGATATCTCAACAAATTAGTTCCATATCATTACTGAAACAAACCCACATGCTGATCATTTTAGAAAACGACGAATAATCTGCATTGACTCATCAAGGGAAGCAGAGGTATTTCATTCAGTGAAGAAAAATTCCTTTATCGAATGTCTCATTTCATAAACCTGTACAACCTCGTTCAGGCATATATTTCACAGGGATATAACAGTATATGATTGAACAATGGGGTATAATTAGATGAACAAACCAACGTCAAGATTGAAATCAAGTCTGGAGAGGAGTTGGGTAATAATCTTTTAGATAATGGAAATGATGGGAAGGGTTATGAGTTTGAAATGTTGAAATGTGAAGGTAGTGAGAGTCAGTCAACTTGACAGATATAATGCAGATGAAGAAAGAAACAAGAGTTTCGATGAAGATGAAGGTGGAAAGAAATTGTGAAAGTGTTAATATTGTGGTGAGATGAGAGACTGAATATACTTCTTCACCACTCATATATTTGCTTTGAACTGTTGATCTGTCAGTGGTGTTCCGTACACAACTAACTATCCAACACTCAATCCTTCTCAACCATTCTCTTCGACTGTGTTAATGATGCTGAAGGAGGACTGTGGTTGAGCTACATGGCCTCAGTTGAACAATTGTTCAGGAATTCAACTGCTAACCGACTAACATTCTCCCCTCGACAATCATGCAGGCACGCTAGTCCTCAGAAATACGTGTGGAAAATGTACACTTTGTGGGGTCAATATAATTTGTAGACAAAAACTGAGGCGGCTTAATGCGGTGACGTGTCCAGCACGCACAACGGAACCAGAGAAGCTGGTTTGTAGCCTCTCACAGAACAATGCCTTCTTCATCAATATAGACAGCCAACTCTTCAGCATCTCTCTTCACATATCGCCTTTGAAACCAACATGCATGAACAATGTCTTTTCTGGAACTGTGTCTGTTTTAATTTAACATTCTTCTCAATTAATCTGCATAGGTATATATTTTGCCTTGGAATCCTCTGTAGTCTGACTGAATACTAGTCGGTGATAGTGTCACTCCTCCACATTCTTCCGAGTTTTCATGATAATGTATGAATCAGGTTTGTTTTCCAGATGAATGGCTTCCAACCATGCGAATTCTTCCATCTTACTATGATTCCAACAATGATTTCACAATCTTTTCGATTTCATCCTGAGTAGTTAGTTTACTAGTATCACTTGCATTATGACTCTCCTTCCTTTCTTCACCTTTTTTATAACTATCTGTTGAGTGGGTGCTCACAATTACCAGCCTTCACGTCTTGCATGAGTGATCACATTTATGTGTGTTGATTAGTTAACCCACTACAGTGAACACCTTGGTATTTAAACACTTTGTCACCGAGTCATGATAATTTATCTTATAAGGAGCATCCAATTTGTGTAATTTTGCCATAGTAAATTATAACAAATAACTACATAAAAAAATGTTTTGAGTATTATTCATCAGTGTCTCGATGTTGTCTCAGAAGATTCTTTTCAAGAGCATCAGCATGTAACTGGATGTTTCGTAAAGGTCATGTTTTGTATGAATTCTGAAAATCAGATTCGAACTCTTGAAAAAAGATCTCAGCGTTGAGGAAAAATGCAAGAAACATTTCTTTATTTTGTCATTTAGTCCTATGGCTTATATTATATAGTCGTTGATCAAACCGAACTGACCAGCCTTTATTGGCATAGAGGCTCTTAGGCGGATGCCTCGATATTGCCTGTATTTTTGATTGAATAGCTGATGAGTCCCAAATAGGACGAAATGCACATCCTGGATTCCACTGCTAGCCACTATCTATCATTACTATACATAAATAAAACACAGGCAATATTGAGGCATCCGTACAGGAGCCCATACGCCAACAGAGACAGATGAAATCGGTCCAATCAATGACGGTGTAATGCAAGCAATAACACTAAAATTATACCCGTTGCACATGAATTGGCTATTGTAGCTCGATGGTGTAGTGGATAACGCTATCACTCCCAGGTTCGAATCGCAGTGGGGACAACACTCACTGGAAGGTAGGCACACCCAGCTGACTAGTGAGTCCCAAATAGGAGGAAATGCGTATCCTGGATTCCACTGCTGGCACTATCTATCATTCCTGCGTCTTGTTATTTGTTCTTGATATACTTCACTGGGATAAACTGAGTAGACATTTGTCAATGAGTAACAGAACGAGAACTGTGCAACTGAACTAGAAGAAAATCGCTTAGATAAAAGTGATATGAAAATTAAACGATTACTTACACTTGAGCATTGGTGAGATTTAGAATTAAGTAGTGAATAAGGACAGGTAATGGTAATGTTGCTTCTTGATAAACATTTCTTAGCAACCTTCATAAAATTAGATTGTACCTTGTAGACTAGTACAGTTGAATCTTTCGAAACTGTTAGTTTCAATTTTTCACCAAATATTTCAACATAAACTTGTTAATTCATATTCATTGACCTTTGCCATGTAGGAAAGTGTTGGTGTCAACGTTGAAGAATGTGAGAAAACGTTTACTTTGTAGTGTTGAAGCTTTGGGAATACAACAATAGAGAATGAGAATATGTATCTAGAAACCACTTTGCTATTTATTACCTATTTTTATTCATTACTTAATTCTTAGACTCTACAGATCATAGTTCTTAAGAAGTTTCTATTCCTATATTGTTTTGCATGACAAAAACTATTGATTGTAAAGCTGAAGAGGATGATATAGCTGGAAATAAATTTGTTCCCACTGAAATAAATATTTGAAGTGACAAGTTATCGTCTTCCTAAGAATTCTATTCGATTAACTTTCTTAGTTATACATTTATTCAAGTAAAGAAAGTGAAATTTATCCGCAAATAAAAAGTTGAATATTCAGTAAATTTTTAGACACTTTAACTTACTACTTCTCTACTTCAACTTTATCGACTTTGAAAAGGCCTTCGACAGAGTAAACCGACAAGTAATTTGACAGTTGGTTCAACACTACGGAGTGCCACACATCTTTATCAGGCTCATTCAATACCAATATGAAAACGCCATATGCCCAGTGATCCACAATGGAAAGCTCAGTGATGTATTTGAAGGGAAGACAGGAGTAACACAAGGTTGCCATCTACTATCACCAATCACCTTCCTGATTATCGTCCACTCGACTGCATTGGATCATGCAAGAAACTATGAGGAGTGGGAAGATGGGCATACGCTGCTTGACTGATGAAAAGACACCAAAACACTTCGACTTCGCTGATGATGATTTATGTCCAATATCTTGTCTCACAAAGTCAAAGATCTATAGACGAAAAGTAACAAGTTGAGAGAAGAGACGAGACGGTGAAGACGGCACTTCATTCAGTTAATCGTAGAGAAGATAGAAATGAAGAAGATGCCCAACCAAAGGGAGAAATCTAAAGCAAGTTGTCTCTTTCATCTACCTACCCACCTACCTAAGCAGCTTCGTTTAAACCACAGGCGGCACAGACGAGGATGTCAAAACTAAGTTCGGAAATACAGCAAGACAGGCTTTCTGAAGTCAGTGTGGAAATCTGCCGCACTGCACTCAGCATAAAGCGTGAACAAGGTCTGGATTTTCAACAGTAATGTCAAGTCAGTGCTGCTATATGGTTCAGAAAGTTGGCGGGTCATGCAAAGCATTTCCAACAAACTACAGACATTCATCAACAGCCGCCTACGCTGGCTGGATACTGAAGATCATATCGGATGACCAAAAAGAATAAACACCAAGGAACTCTGGTCTGCTAACGAACCAACCAAGAACCTATCGTCCAAAAAATATGCACTGGAAGGAAGTGGAAATGGACTGGGCCGACTGGAGACATCACGTGCCAGGCCACACCCTCGAATGGAATCCAAAGGGGAAAACGACGAGTTGTGCGTCTGAGGTGAGGATGATATGGCGGAGATGATGTGAGGAAGAAATGAAAGCTTGTGGGCAATGGTGGAGCCAGGTATAGAAGATTAGAGAGAAGAGAGTGTAATGGAGACGTGTTACTGAAACCCTATGTTCCACTAGGAACCCAAGGGGAAAATATTAATAAATAATAAACTTACTACTTATTGAGTTAAGTTCAATTACTTTGACACAGTTAACCACTAAGTGAAAATCTCATCCTTAATCAAGCATAACGAGGATACACCTTTGGTGTACAAAAATCATTCTCGTCAGATATTTCATAGTGTTTACGCTAATTTACCGCTTCATTTGTTTGTTTATCTATTTATTTATGCATTGAATGTTCACTTTAAATGAATGTGTTTTGGTTTCAACATTTAGGTCAGCTTTGATCTACAATTTGTACTGAAAACGTTGATGACTTTGTGTCCTGCAAAAGCTTTGCTTATCTTTATTACAACCATCTGGATTATATTTAGTTGGACGTTAAGAGCATGTGAACTGTAAGTTAACCAATTTGAAAAGTACGCCAATTTTGTTTAAATTTTATCACATTAAATGAATATAAACAAGCATTTGTTTAACCTAAGCATTTGTTACATTAAGAAAATTAATGTTTTATTATGGAATATGGTTAATTACTTACATAAGTGGTTTCTTTCAGTTGACAATTTGTTTATTGAATGAATACGATTACAAGTGTTTACAGTTTGAACTTTTCGAAAATGCATACCAGGAGTGATTCGATAAAGAAGATTTTCGATTTTGACGATATCATTTCCTAAAGCTGTATTGTTTATTATTATTATTATTATTATTATTTTTATTATTTGTCCCTTAGGTTCCTGATGGAACATAGGGATTCAGTAGCATATCGCCATTTCACTCTCTGCTCTATAGCCTTTTCAACTTAGATCCACCACTGCCAATAACCTTTCATTTCTTCTTCACACCATCTTCTCCACTTAGCTTCTAGTCAAGGGCCTGGTCTGATGCGTGATGTCCCTAAACTGTCTTCTCAGTGTATGTGTAATCCAATCCAATTCACCTCCACATTCTTCTGCATATTTGTTGGGTAATAGGTTGCTGGTCAGTGGGTTGGTTCGTTGCTAGGCAACAGTTTCTCCTTCCTTATTCATCCTAGCTATCTGATCTGATTTTCAGTATGGAGTTACGATAGGTGGCAGCTGTTGATGTAGTTTGTTGAAAATGCTTTTCGTAACGCTCCAAGTCTCTCAACCATCATACAGAAACACTGACTTGACGTTGGTGTTGGAAATCCGTATCTTGTTCACGCTTTATACTGACGGCAATGTAGTGCAGTGGAGTAGGTTTACACGCTGATTTCACAATAATGAAGACCTGCCTTGCAGTCTTTCCGAACTTGGCTTTCACATCCTCATCTGTACCTGTCCCGACTGTAGTTGAGACGATGCTGCTTGGGGAGGTGAAAGAGGCTACTTCCTTCATATTTCTCCTGTTCACGGTAATTGATGCTTGTTCTTGGTTGAGCATCTTCTTCATTTCTATCTTCTCTACGATTAACTGAATGAAGTGCCGTCTTCACCGTCTCGTCTCTTCTCTCAACTTGTTAGTTTTCGTCTATAGATCTTTGACTTTGTGAGACAAGATATTGGACATAAATCATCATCATCAGCGAATTCGAAATGTTTTGGTGTCTTTTCATCCTGTCAAACAGCGTATGCCCATCTTCTCACTCCTCACAGTTTCTTGCATGATCCAATGCAGTCGAGTGGACGATAATCGGGAAGATGATTGGTGAAAGTAGATGGCAACCTTGTGTTACTCCTGTTTTCACTTCGGAGGCATCACTGAGATTACCAATGTGAATCACTTAGCATGTAGCATCGTAATCATCATGTAGCTGCTGTTGAATGTGAGAATTTCCTGATATTGTAAATGATATTCGGTTTGCCTTTGGTCTCTGGTTGTTCCACCCTCCGGTGTTGATACTATAGTTTGAAGGGAATTTGTTGGTTGATGACTGACCACACCAATTCCAAGTGGTCTCAGTAATCTTGTCGTGATTTCTGATACATCTTCTGTATGTATGGTGGGATGATGTGTTTACTGATTTATGTCGATGACTTTGTAGTTGATGATGTACAGGATAGGCATCTTGTGATAAAGTTTCGTGGGTAGCCGTTCTCCTTCAGCATGGACATTGAGTAATTTTCTTTGTTTCTCCATCAAGTTGTTGTACTGTAGTACAGTGTATTCTCACTCTTTTCAACTGAGTCTGCATGCAACTGATTTCGTGTGTTGTTGCTATTGTAGTTGAAGATTTGTTCAGTGTGTGTTGGCTTCCTGTACACTTCGGTTTCCAACTTTCCGGCATTTGTCCTACTGACTAGAACATCTAGAAATGGTAGTTGGTTGTTTGACTCTTTCTCCATTGTGGATTCGATGTCATTAGTGAAAACGTTGTTAATCAAACTGTGGGTGTTTTTGATGTCACCTTTTTAATGATGACAAAAGTGTCGTGCACATAGCGAAATCCAATTTTTTGGTTTGATAATAGTTAGAATGATGCCTTCCAGTCTCTGCATCACTGCTTCTGCAATTAGTCCGCATATGGGTGATCGCATTGGAGTTCTTTTCACCTGTTTGTACATCTCGCCGTTGAACTGTAATATACTGTTTATAGATTACTCAATGCAAGGTAGCAACAAAGGTTGAATGAACTTCTTTTTCATACATATAATTCCTCTTTCTTCATGTAAATGGCCAGAGCTTAGATAGTCCAGGGAGTGCGAAAATGTATCATTTGTGGAAAAATAACTTTTCAAGTTATGAATGACTTTGACCACATATTCAGTTGTAATGCCACAACTAATGTTGACAAACGTGTTCACTGTAGTGGGTGAACTGATCAACACACATAAAAGTGATCACTCATGCAAGACGTGAAGGCTGGTAATTGTGAGCACCCACTCAACAGATAGTTATAAAAAAGGTGAAGAAAGGAAGGAGAGTCATAATGCAAGTGATACTAGTAAACTAACTACTCAGGATGAAATCGAAAAGATTGTGAAATCATTGTTGGAATCATAGTAAGATGGAAGAATTCGCATGGTTGGAAGCCATTCATCTGGAAAACAAACCTGATTCATACATTATCATGAAAACTCGGAAGAATGTGGAGGAGTGACACTATCACCGACTAGTATTCAGTCAGACTACAGAGGATTCCAAGGCAAAATATATACCTATGCAGATTAATTGAGAAGAATGTTAAATTAAAACAGACACAGTTCCAGAAAAGACATTGTTCATGCATGTTGGTTTCAAAGGCGATATGTGAAGAGAGATGCTGAAGAGTTGGCTGTCTATATTGATGAAGAAGGCATTGTTCTGTGAGAGGCTACAAACCAGCTTCTCTGGTTCCGTTGTGCGTGCTGGACACGTCACCGCATTAAGCCGCCTCAGTTTTTGTCTACAAATTATATTGACCCCACAAAGTGTACATTTTCCACACGTATTTCTGAGGACTAGCGTGCCTGCATGATTGTCGAGGGGAGAATGTTAGTCGATTATCAGTTGAATTCCTGAACAATTGTTCAACTGAGGCCATGTAGCTCAACCACAGTCCTCCTTCAGCATCATTAACACAGTCGAAGAGAATGGTTGAGAAGGATTGAGTGTTGGATAGTTAGTTGTGCGTGGAACACCACTGACAGATCAACAGTTCAACGCTAATATATGAGTGGTGAAGAAGTATATTCAGTCTCTCATCTCACCACAATATTAACACTTTCACAATTTCTTTCCACCTTCATCTTCATCGAAACTCTTGTTTCTTTCTTCATCTGCATTATATCTGTCAAGTTGACTGACTCTCACTACCTTCACATTTCAACATTTCAAACTCATAACCCTTCCCATCATTTCCATTATCTAAAAGATTGTTACCCAACTCCTCTCCAGACTTGATTTCAATCTTGACGTTGGTTTGTTCATCTAATTATACCCCATTGTTCAATCATATACTGTTATGTCCCTGTTTGATATTTGAGACATTCGATTAAGGAATTTTTCTTCACTGAATGAAATACCTCTGCTTCCCTTGATGAGTCAATAGATATTGATCGTCGTTTTCTAAAGTGATCAGTATGTGGGTTCGTTTCAGTAATGATATGGAACTAATTTGTTGAGATATCAGACAGTTGAATGTGACTGTCAGGAGGTCGTCCTTCGACCAGGATAAGATTCGTGCTTGTTAGCACACATCATCAGGGTGTGTCTGCAACATCCCATCACAGATTCCACCACACATCACCCCATACTGCAATCGCAGAGGTTACTAATCCATTGTGTTCTCCACCCACCTCATCCATCTAACATTCATCATAGTGCATTGTGATGCTGAGTCTTTCAAACTGGTGATCACATTGCAAAATGATCCATCGAATTTCGTCTAGTTTCAGTATTGAGGAAGATGAAGTTGGTTACTGTCAAATGACTAATCAATCTCTCAATATCATCAATCAAAGTGGTGTACATTCTCTAATGTTTGATCGAAAATAGTTTCATCTTCCATCTTCCATCTTCTTGCTCATGTCTACACAGTTGTGGTAGACAACTTCAATCCCATTCATCCTCACAACCATTTTCATGGTTTATGTTCAATTCTCACAATGAGATTCATTTTACGAATCACACATGAACTGAATGCACAATCCTGCTAAGAAATTCATCATCCAATAACTGAGATTTTGTTGTCAGTTGACATATGAGTGTAGGAGATTGCTTTGCAGTAGTCTACAAATTGCAATGTAACTTTGGGAATTGGTGTCAGTTGAAGTTTTGGTAATGCAACCAAGGAAGTGGAATTGTCTCTCTGTGTGTGTGTGTATGTGTGTGGAGGTGACTTCGCCATTCATTCACTGTTCTTCTTCGCTTCAGATTTCTCACACTTTACCGTTATGCAGCCTCACCTACCTAAACATTCTCATCTTTTCATAAAGTAGACGATTTTCACCTTAGCTGAGTTACAAACATCATATCCACTTCCTGCCAACTACCAACTGCCAACTGCCAACTGCTGTGTCTGCTCACTTTGTTACCAATTCCTTGCTCCTCCATTACAATTCACGTCTTCTCACCTTGTCATATATTTTCATGATTTTACATTGATTGGTGACTGCAGTGTGACCGACTTCATATTATCTACTCCTGATTGGTGACCGAATTCTCTGAATGATTTTGGAATTTGTCTTCCAATCTAGGAGAGTTGGAATCGTGTTTGGATGAGCAATCAGCAGGTATGTTCGGGTGACACAGGTGTACTGATTATTTTGCACTGGTCATCAGAGGGTGAATCTGCATGGTCGATAGAACTGATTTTCCATTTGAGAGTGGATTCGATTTTCTCAGGTTGTTGGCTAAGTTTCAAGATGACTGGTAGACGTTTGTGAACAGTGCTGACTCGATAGGATGTTATTGGTTATCCTCCACACTTGTGAATCAGTTGACCTCATTCAGTGGTGGGAAATGTTGAATCTTGGTGTAGTGTGTCACTGGAGCACTGGTTGATGTGGGATCGGATTTCAGGTGGGAAATCATTAGCGTGTAGTTGGCAGATTTGCTTTGTTGATGAAAGTGATGTGTCATGAAACCTATGTCGAGGAGGTCTTCCTGTCGATTACTTGCATCCAACTAATAATTTTCTATTTCTTGCATGAAACACATTCCTTTATTGTTGCTTTGGCGACAAGCTGTCAGCGATGATTAACTAGCAAATCGTAGCGCTGATATTGAATTTGTTCGCTGAAATCTGTCAATGTATTTTACTCATCTAGAATTCTTTTCATCTTTGAAATATAGTACAGACATTTTATTTTATGCCTTTTCACACTGATAGTGTGTGACTCTAAAGGTTGTTCATGCAAGGCTTGAAATAGGCAGTCAAGTTTCTCAATTAAGGCTAGAAACTTTTTCATGAAATAGATAACGATGACTGGCTCTTCTAATCGCCATTCAACAGAAGGGAGTTTTATCTTTTGTACAGCCGGTAAATAAGTTATTTGTCATCAAATAAACTGTTTTGGTTAACCACACGATTTGTTTAGTGCGCGGATGAAAATAGCTTATAACTTGGATTCTAAGCAATAAGAGTATACGGCAATACTGTCCATGCTGTACTGTTATACAGCAAGACAGGTTAGTCGATTAATGAGGTTGTGAGGCTTGGTCGAATGAGATGACTTGGAGTGCTCATGCCGAGCCACCGTTTGCCTCAATCATCCATGTTAGGCGAAGTTGGATTTGGTTGGAAGAGTGTTCAGAGTGGCGATATTAACATATGGCACCAGTTGATGTGGTCTCTGACTGTTATTCTGAGCTGTGGGTGTAGACTAACTGGCTGTAATCCTCTAGACGAAGGGAAGAACACTTGGTGACATGCTTGAAAACAGGTCGCAGGTCACTCTGACCTTTTCTGTGGTCAGATTATTTATTCACTGACATAACTTTATCTACTTTGATGTCACTCCTTTTCTATTCATTTGTTCTGTGTATGCGACTGTGAAGTGTAGCAATTTAAGGAGAGGGTTTTGTGTGCGAGATTCTACGTTGATTTCGTCTATCTTTCTAAGTGATACTGACTCGTCATTAAGTTTGTTTTGTTTTTTGCTTTCAGTGAACAAGGAGAAAATCATTTAAGTTTGCTGAATTCTGCTTGGCTTATATCTGTGACATTTTTAAGCATTGGATATGGTGATATAGTTCCACACACCAGTTGTGGTCGTTTAATTGCTGTCGCCACTGGCTTAATGGTGAGTCCTATCCGTTTAATTTTTATTACTTCTAATAGTTTAAATTTAGTAGTTTCGATTACTAATTGATAGGTCAAAGCTTCGAATCCCAAATCCACCTATCTTAGGTAGAAAAAGTAGGACATCAGGTCATTAGCCCTCAGACAAAAGATGTTTCTGACTCCTGTTTACTGAACGAATGCACACATGGCTGATGAGTGAATTTCGATGTTTTTTCGACTTTTATTATCATGACCTAAAAGTGTCGATTATTCTCATATGCTTCAAAACTATTTGGAAATCTGAAATATCCGTTGAAAAGGATCCATAGAAAGTAGTTAGGTACTAGAAGAAACAAGGATATGATTATTCCAAGCGAAAATTACTATAATATGCTTAAATGATAGGTGATTGACGTGAACAAAAGTCAATTTTATTCGGTGTGTAAGGTGTAAGGAAGCTAAATACAGGATTCAGTAAATCATAGCATCAGCTGATCACGTTTCTGGCAGTCCGCCTAGGTAGGAAAACAAAGTAAACACCTCAATGTTCTCATTAAATGAGCAAAATCCCAAATAAGCAGGTACTTACATTTGAACAGGATACATAGGGAGATAAATGCGAAAGAGTGTAAAAGATCTGAGAAATGTAAGCTAGAAAAATACCGTGGAAAATAATTATGTCTCATTTATGTAACAGCGAAGTTTGCAAAACCAAACCATAGCAGTTAAATTTGAGGACTGTGATAAGTTTTAGTTCCGTTCTAGTCGCGTTATTATAATCATTACACAGTGAAATAATAACTCCATAACTTTGAAGCACGTTTACCACAGTTCCAATCCTCTGTTTTTCTTTGAGATAACGGTAGCGGAATCCCCCCCCCCCCCACATATATATAGGTCAGATATCGAGTCATTTCTGTAACAGGTATTCGGTAAGACTAGATAAACCAAGATTCAGTCGGTTATCAATCTCTCAATTGACTGTCCATCTGTCCCATCATACTATGTAATTGTGTGTAGTTGTATGTATAGCTGTAGTCCAGCTTTTCTGTAAGTCGCTTATCTGACATGTCTGAGATCAGATTTATGAATAGTTGGAAGCGGAGAGCCATTCAAGCATTTACTCCTACTTCAAATATATGGCTCCTATATGTAGATGACATATTCTCGGTAATGAAAACACAACACATCAATAGGTTCACTCGTGAACGAAGTGGAAACCACATAGAACTAAGAAAGTGATGGAGGTGAGCTAACTATGTTGGATTGTAAGATTAAACAGAAGCCAGATGGAAGTCTAGAGACTAGTGTCGTCTATAGGAAATTTTCTCATTCAGACTTCAAATCATCTCACCCTATCTCAGTTAATGTAGGCTATACTAAATGACTATGTGATACGACAAGAAAACTTACTTGTAGGACAAAAATCTACAACAGAAGTTAGACAAACTAAGACTATCTAACCGCTAAATTACTACTCAACTCAAATTTATCAATAAATGCATGAAAAATCCTCAGAAAAGTAGCATACATCAATCGTAACTCTCCTGATAATGGTGACAGGTTTGAGAGAGAATTCAAAGCCTCTACTATGCTGCCATACAAAGAAGGCACCAGAGAAACATTACGAAGACTTCTCGACAAGGCTTGGATTGCAGTGTGGCATTTAAACCAACAACCCGGCTTTAAAAAAAGCTTTGTAGGTTACAAGATCCTATTGATTCATTTAGGCGAACTAATTTGGTTCACCAAATCCCTTGGAATCAATGCGACGTCAAAGTAGTCGACTAGGCTGGTTTAATTAGAATAAGAGAGCACAAAAGCTTAACTAAATCGATATAAGTAGATCCTAATGAGATAAGAAATCTAGAGAGATGTTGGGCTATAACTCTGCACGCAATCACGCACAATCATAGGGTGGGTAGAATAGAGTGACAGCGTTAAAAACTTAGTCGAGTAGAGGGAGAGAAAGATTGATAACCGAATCTCTGCTTATCAAATCAATACATGTGATATATATGATTTTGTAACTGTCCCACATGTATGGTAAATACTACTAGCTTTATCACAAAGAAGGAGAGAGGATCAGAACTATATAAATGATGCTTCAAAGTTGTAAAGGTTATTTGATATGAATTCGGACAATAAATTACGTCCAAAGGGTTAACTAGTAAATAATAATAGTGTTTCACTGTGACAATTGTAGTGAAGTGACTAAAATGGAATTTCCATAGCTTTGGTTTATCTTTTCATGGAAGTCTTGCTTGACTAGTGGAAGTAGTTCTCTTGAAGTCAAAGTTTTCAGCTCTAATTGACATAAATCTTTACAGATCTTGGATGACTTCATCAAGGAAATAGAGTATATATATATATATATATATATATATATATATATATATATACATTACAAAGGATAAATACTATTTATTACATGTACAACTAGTATATAAGTAAAAGTTGTTGTGTTACATAATCCTTTTTTAATTTTATTGGATAAATCAAAAGGGTTCTGCATGTACTGCATTATTGGTCGCTGTATTTTCAAGGAAGTTGGAAATGACAAAAGCTGAGAAACACGTCCTACATTTCATGGAATCCAGTAAATTAAGTAAAAAGGTACTTTTCATTTTTCTTTTTATTCCAGTAATGTTGTTCGATTATTATCAATTTTCGCTATGAACAACAACACATATGCCTTCATGTATACGTATGTGTATAGATGATTATTAGCATACTAACTGGTTTAAATCAATGAAAGGAGCCATTTTCACCATAGACTGACATCATTTTGACGACTGTTGAGAACCTGGACAGCTGAATTGCCTTATTATGGGTCTCCTCAGTGACGCATTCCCATGATTTCGTAGGGCTTCCAATCCAAGTACGTCAGGTCTTATAGAGAACATATATCCACACTGAGCCGAATAGGTTCGAATTTTGTGGCCCATCTTTCTCTACTTCTCTTTATTTATGATGTAGCATAACCATCAACGAGTACTTGTTAGATACAGTGGAGACGTTTTGTACCTTCCGTTAAAACATTTTTAATCCTAATTATAGAGATAAGTAGAACAAAAGACTTTTCTTACCAACTAGAAAGAAAGATGGTAAGCAAGTACAGGGTCAGGCTGAGAAACCGTCAGCAAAAAACGTTTATACAGTCGATAACACAACGATCAAAAGAAACAACCTATCAAATACCATTTTATCAAAGTAAGCAACCGATTCGATTATTCAGAAATCCTAATATTTCACTTCATATTGAAGTTTCAGCTGATCCTGTTGTTTAGAAAGTCGATGAAAGCTCCATGATTAAACCACCCACCTCAGTAAACGGAAATATAACAAATATTCATCATCACTTCATAATCCCTAATAGGAAGGTAGTAGTTATTGACGAAAACTGTAGGATTATAGTATATACTGGAAGAGACCACATTTCTTAAAAGAAGAGTTTTCGAAACCTTGAATCATTTCGACCATCTGAGATCGCCATGGTCTGGTGGAATAGTATTTATAACGGGTGATGATTGTAGGTGGCCTGTGGGTTTCCTTCCCCATGCTCTACCAACTGAGCTACGAGATCCGACTGCTTACCAGGTTTTCCATTTCACTCTAATCACAAGTGAGATTTTACCCGACTACCATATGAATTCGCGAAGCGTGACTACCACTTGATCGTACTCACACGGGCTATACACAGTAAGAACTTCTCAACCCAATCCCAATGTAACTGGATTAGAATGAGAAGTGGAGCATTTTGACTATCTGAGTGAGATCGCCATGATTTGACAGATAAGTATTGATACTGGTGTTGGAAGGGAAATAAAAATGTGGTCAGCAGCTAAACATTATAGTTTAGTTGGAAGAGTATCGGGCCAGAAACCTGGTGATCACTGGCTCGAATCTGGCTGCGGTTCACATTTTTATGTCACCCTCAGTCATTCCCCAGTATCAATGAAAGAAAATTACTGATGCTGGTCATTCATACTTTCTCGCTTGATAAATAATAGAGATAGTTACTAAGACAAAAAAGTGAACCAGACGACATGATCAACATTCTTCACAGTTAGGAGCAAAGTGTGAAAGAATTGGTAATTTAGTTATGCTAACAAATAGTAGACATGAGCTAACAGAAATCGGAAATATGGACCATTGGGTTCTGGCCTAGTAGCTCAATGGTAACGCTCTGGCCACGGAACCTGAAGGTTGCGGGTTCGACCCCTGGAGGGGTTGTGGATGCGCACTGTTGAGGAGTCCTACAGTAGAACGAAACAGCTCCCAGGTTCCCTTTGTTCTTCCAACAGATGTCTCTCTACGGAGAATAACAACTTGAAAGAAACCATATTTAAAAAATGTTCATTTATCAATACGTACGTGCTAACAAGCTAAAGATTTGATTCATAGTTCACTAGTTATTCACAAGACTAGGAAATGATAAAACAGAAATTCCATGTACACACGAAAGGTAGTTCAGTACCAAGCATTCCATCAGGTATCGAACTCATGACCTTCAGTTTTCCCAAGTAATGCGTTAATCATTCAACCACAAGAGTTACGGTCACATGATTCACAGTTTCCTACTTTTATTGATTCGTAATATACCGCGACTACCCATCAACATGTTCAGTTGAGATGCATTTTCTTTCTGACTGGCTGACTTGACAGGTCACAGCTTCCCATTAGAACTTTAGAATATCCATTTTGAAGCATTTCACTGATGTGTAGTATATTTTGAGGTTGATGGGGGGTTATATTTTTAAGGCAGTATTCGTCATGGACTGACATTAGTTGGAGAAGCACTGAATAGATGTTTTATCCTGTCACGCATCCATGATCTGTGATCTGTATGACCCAGTAGCCATCTTGGTAACCATGTTATACCAAGTGTATGTTCTGAATAATAATAATAAATATTATTATAATTATCCATTTGACTACCTAAGATAATTGTGGTTTGGCAGACTTCTGTTGTTGATACGGGGTGATGATTGAACGTGAAATGACAATCTGGTTGACAAGCAGAATCCAAACCAAGGGCTAATTTCCTTTCAATCACCAAGAGATTTACTCAACTATCATATGAATTCAAAATGCGTTATTATCTTAGTTCATTCAAACAAGGATAATTTCAGTGAACAATATTGTTTCGAATAACTTCTTCTTCAAGCGCTGTTCAGTTATAAATCCATGAGAATAAGTGAAATACAATAGACGGTAATAATGTGTGGTGTAAAATTATTACTTTATTATGAAATAGTCAGTTAGGGTTATGAAACCAATTGTTTAGAGAAGAGGAACATTGGTAAACAAGAAATTAATATCCATAGGAACCCTTGTTTCATTACCAATATTCCTGTCCTCGACTTTTGAAATAAATTCAAAAGTGTCCTTTAAGCAATATTTAACCACATATTACAGTAATTTCCTTCCCGGTAATTTGCTTGATTGTGGATAGCGGAGGAACCTAGGACGTGCGTTTCATCCTATTTGGGACTCATCAGCTGGATGTACCTGCCTCCCAGTGAGTGACCTTGTCCCTATTGAGACCGCAACCTCTTACTCATCGTTTCAAACAACAAGGCGTTTTTCACTATGCCACAGAGAAACGATAGCCGCTTCTTGTACAACAGGTATTAGTAATTACAAGTAATGGCTTTCGTGCCTCTGTGGCACAGTGGAAAGTGCTTTGGTGTTTGAAGCGATAGGTAAGAGGTTGCGGTTTCAGTGGGGACAAGATCACTCACTGGGAGGCAGTTGCATATAGCTGGTGAGTCCTAAATAGGATGAAACGTGGATCCTGGGTTCCTCTGCTATCCACAACCATAATCATTGCAATTGTTGAAGGCTATTGAAGGGAAAGCGAATGAACTAACATCTGAATAAGTAGATTAGGTTTGAAAAGTTTACTTGCTATGGCTTCTGCTATACATACTTAGGAATCGGAGGTGTATAAACTTAAAGTATTTTGACGAGACTTTGTAAATAATAGTAAATGCTTAAGTTTTGTCAATCTTATACTCAATATCTACTAGATGAATGAGTATTCAGCTTTTGATAGATTTCAGCGTTCATTTGCCTAACCACACTGGACTGTGTTCAATGAAGCAATGATGGGCTTGCCGAGTCGTTCTACTTAATGTAACTATCTCCATAGAAGCAGTTAAATTTGTAAATGCATATAGATTTGACCAGTTTCTGAAGCCTATTCACCAACTGCATTGTTATCATTTTATCAGATTTCTGAGTTACAGTGTCAGTGTTTCTGCAGCTGCATCCTCTTTGAAAGCTGAGATTAGATACGATTGTTTTTTCGGCACCATCTGTTTTCATTGTTACAGTCCTTATGAACTTTTCAGGATAACCATTGTCGTATACGGAGTCTAATATTATTATTAATTCATCTTTCAAAGTGTTAGCTGTGCAAATCTTACTGGCTAAAAAACATCAGTTTTCGGATTCAATTCCCATTTTACATAAGAGGGACAAATCATTGGAAATTGTGTATAGTGACCGGATCATGACTTCTTACGATAAATACTGCATATAATACTGCCCTCTGTTCTTCTTGATAGCGAAACATCAAGAAATGGTAGAGATCAGTCTTTCTCTCTTTCATATGTTGAGTCGATTTTTGGATGAGTAATGTTGAATGTATAGAGAAGAATGTGAGGATTGGTATCATTTTTTTTGTACAAAATAAAAGTGTCATCCATGTATCTACAATGGAAGGGCAGTTTATCTATCGTGCTTCATAGTAGTCCACTTTCCAATTTTGCAATAATTATATCGGATACAAGAGAACCTAATAGTGAACCCATTGCCACACCTTCTATCTGATGGTACATTTTCTTGTTAAACTGAAATTATACATTTATCGTACAACGAAGTAGCAGCTCTTGTAGGGTTACAAGTGACATACCTACCTCCAAAATGTTATCTAGCAGGGAACTATGGATGAGACCAATTGTTTCGAGAGTGGAAACATTGGTAAACAAGAAAGTAACATCCATAGAAATCCTTGTTTCCTTACTAATATTTCTGTCCTCGACTTTTAAAATTAGTTCAGAAGTGTCCTTTATGCTATATTTAACCACATATCACAGTAGTTTCCTTCCCGGTCACTCGAATAAAGGTGAATATTACCTCTGTTTCTACCTTAGTTTCTTTCCCCATTTCTCCAATTTATTTGAAAGAGTCACTTTTATTATGCACCGATAAGGTTCATTTTGCTTTCGAAGGTGAACACTTTCAACAAATTGATGACGTTGCCATGGGAGTCCATTAGGACTGTTATTAGCTGGTGTATATCTGTCACATACTGAACCAATGGCTCAAGATTTCTTGAGTAATGTCACATTCTATAAAAGGTATGTTGATGATATCATTGTAATATATGACACAGATGAGGATGCCAGGGGTTAGCTAAAAAGGCCTAATACCGTAGAAGATCATATCAGTCTGACATGTGAGGAAGAAAAAGACCATCAACATGCATTTCTTGATGCACTCTTGTATCGGAGGGAAAATGAATCATCTATCAGGCAATCAATCTATAGAAACCCGAGTTGGACAAGACAATACTTGATTTTCTACAGCTTTTGTCCAATAAAATA